TTTCTAAAATATTAGAATAATTGTAAAGGAAAATATCTGCAACATTAGGACAATTTAATGGGTTTTTTTTCTCCATGTTCATTGCAGCTGGGGCTCAGCCATCTATATTGTATGGGTAGTTGCTTCCCTATAAGGCTGTAACTTGTTCTTGAAAAAATATTGCACCATTTGGGGATGCATTATGTGAAAGTGCATCATCTAGTTCTCCCCTATTAGTGGTGCAGTCACTTATAATGAACTAGATACTGCTGCTGGCTGCAGTCTTGTAAGGGTGAGCTCATCTCTGACCCTGATTCTTTCCTTCAGACAGAAATGTTCCAATTCAAACATGTTCAGAAACGTTTTTTTAACTAAACAACTGCTGTGTGGAGTCAGACAGAATAATGACCATGCTAATTCATGTCACTTAAGGGGGGGAGGGGGAATCCTGATTAATCTTTGGAGGAAAAAGGTAAGGGTTTTGTTGTGTTTTTTTTTTTTTTTAATGCTGTGGCCTTAAGGAAATGAAAAAATACGGTTATAGCTGCAAGGCTTGACCAGCCATCTCTCTCTAGATGAAAATGTCTCTACTTTAGGACGACTGTGTTAATTTTGTATTGATTATGAAGATACATTTTTTTCAGCTTCATGGTAATATGGCCTTTGTACATATATTTTTTAGTAGTTTGGGGTAGATGGGGAAGAAGCAATCATAGCATATTTAACTCCTAATGACTGTTTTTTCTTAAAATAGCTTCGAAGCTGAATTCCTGATGTTTCTTCCCACACTGGCATTGCTGGTGGAGTTACTAGGCTTTGGGATGATATGGGAGTCTTGAGCTGCTTTGTGTTTAAATTCCCACCAAAAGATGAGTTACTCGAGGGTTTTCAAAGGAATACCTAGAAGTTTTACTTCCTCTAAATAACATCACCAAAAAACCACTCTATTTTGCAAAGATTCTTAAATGCATCTGAAGAGAGCAGTGTTTGTTCTCCAAAAGTGTATTCAGAATGGTTTTCCTAAAATGGAATACCTCTGGTTGAGATGGATGCTTTACAAACAATTTTTGTGTGCAACCACGTGTACTCATGAGTTTCAACAGGAGTCAGAAGGAAAGGCTTGTTGAGAGGTATCTGTTCAAGTGTGGAGCACTGAGTTTGGGATAAACAGAAGATCAACTGAGTGCAAAAATACCGAAATGTGGCTTTTTTTCTTCAGTGAGCATTTATTGTCTTTCAGAATGTACTGCTTCTGGTGAAACTAAATGGCAATAAAGAGCAACTGAGTGCTGTGAATTGGTCCACTGAATAATTGAAAATAGTTTAAAATGGCATAATTGGCTTAAAGTTGCTGTATCAACGCATCTAATCCCTCAGAGGTTCCCTGGGGCTTTATACTGATGGATTGAGGAGGTTTTTTTCAGTGTGGTCACTGCTGCTGTTTGTCATCCGTTTGGTGGAGATTGCTCACCTTTGTAATGTTACTATGTGTGACTTCTGCTTTTCTTATTGCCTTTCTGTTCCCAGATACTCAAGTCAAGAAAAACATTAATTGTTCTTTGCGCTAACTTCCAAGTCAATTGAAAAAGCACTTGGTGTGTGTAGAGCTGGGGGAGCTCTGGCTCTACAGAATGATTTCAACCTGATCTTTCTAGATATAGTTACATGTATCTTAGAGCTAGGAATAGGTAACTCATTAATTGGTATTGGTGTGGGATCCAGTATCATGTTTTCATTTGTATTAATGATTTGGAGGAGTCATTAGGAAGTTGTTGTATCCTCCTGAGCACTTAAAGACTAGAAATAAAGCTAGAAAAGAAGCTGCAGTTACCCTGACCAGTTCCTGACTCATTGCCCAAGGGAAATTACTTGCAGTGAAAAATCTTGATTCTTAATAATGTTTCAAAGGATGGTGAGGAGATAGCTCATGAAATCAGAGAGACCTGGAAAGGCAGCAGAGCACTTGGGGAAAATCCAGAAATGCTTTTCCCTTGTAAAGACAGGCGTTGTGCCATATTAAAAGCAAATGATCCTTTAAATGATTTTGATAACCACTGCAGGAGGAATATTGCATTCGTTTTGAGGCATCTTAATTAAGGAGGCAGTGGGGAAATTTAGAGAAGCTGTAGTTGAGAATAGTTAAAACTAGGGGGCAGAATAAATGGGGGGTGAGGAAAGGCTAAGTTTAGCTAGGCTAACCAGTATCTGCTGCTCTTATGCAAGTACAAGAGGAGGAAGAGAAATGGAGGTTGTACAGGCTGATGTAACCATGAGTAATGGGGCAGGGTGGGTAATGGGGGGTCAGCTGCTTTCAGGATGATTCTTCCCCAGTAAATCCTGGTCAGAAACCTTATGCCCAAGAGAAGAGGCAGAAATGATCTCGCTGGGGACCAATAAATTCAGACTGCCCGGAGATCAGGGACATACATCTTAATGAACATTTCTTCCTGAGCAGGAGTGGAATGAGCTAATTGTCTTCGGTGCCCTCTGGTTTCCCTGGCTCAGATTCATGTTTGTTGGATTTAAGTGTCATTACAAGTAATTGGAGTTAGATATGCAGATCAGAGGAAGAAATGGGCTGTGTCACTTATTAGCTAAAGGAATGAAGTAATTGAATTTGCCAATTTAAAGCCATTTTCCTTCCCTGTCCTTAGAAAATACTGACCCTGCAGATTTTTGGTGCTGAACTGTTCATTTTAATTTTGCAAGTGATGTTCTCCTCTGGGGCTTTGATAAACTGCTCCTGAAAATATGTATTTAGAGAAGGGAAAGGAAGGAAACTACCTTGGTGAGGGGCGAGTTAAGTATATTGCTTTCTCTGTTTACCCTCTGTCTGTGCGAATGGGACTTGGTATTATATATTTCCTTAAAGAAAAGGGGGGAAAAAAATTCCAAACACCAATTTTTTACAAGGAGTCACAAATTTTCCAGTCTCAGAATATACATCATTTTACCCTGACAGAGAAAATGGGGGAAGAAAGATGAGAGGTGTAAATTGTTCTTTTTCTATCATCTTGTAGCTGGGTTAGAGTTCTGTATATTTCTCCTTTTCCTTATAGAGGAAACAACTCTCTCCATGCAGCACTAGATCTGGGGGCTAATGAGAAGAAATTGTGTCCAGGCTTTCACTCAGTACGTGCAATTAAACTGAATAAAATCGGATATGTTAGTTAAACATTAAGAGGGTAGTTGGAAGGTGCTTAATATTGTTGCTCTTCAAGGAAATGGGGACTTAATCACTGGAAATGATGGATGGATACGGAGGAGGCTTTTTGTATAAATCCCTTTAAGTAGATTGCATCGTTGGAGAGATTATGAAGTTGGTGTTGGGGACAGCCAGTCCCCCTGCTTATAGCTCAGCTCATGCTGAATGAATGAGGGGTGGGGAGCAAATGTCTCCTCATCCCACCAGGCAGGACGGAGAAGCTGGGTGGAGGCATGGCTTCTGCTGCAGGGTTGGGGATGGAAGGGAAGGTAACAGCCACGTGCTGCTGCTGATCGCCATGGTTAGGAGAGACATCGCTTATGTATGTGGTGTTTGGAATTTAAACCCCGAATAATTGGCACGAGGAAATTGGAAATCCAGAGATGCTAACGGCAGGACTGTGTGTGCTGTATATATCAAGCGGCTAGTGACAGGCCGTTCCTGCCATTGAGCTTAATGTCGTTATACATCTGTTTAAGGCACAAAGTGATTGGAAAAAGTGATCTCATTAACATGTTTGCTGAATCTTTTAGTGATAAAGTGCTACAGTTTATGATAGCAAGAGGAAGACACAATGTAAAAGTCTCCTGGCCTTAAATTGAAGCTCTAATGTACAAAATCCAGTTAATGAATTAATTCCATACTAATTTCTTTTTGTCCGAGTGATTCCTCTCTGTGTCCCCCCTCTCACCCCTATCCGGGAGATGCCTCAACACAGAAGGGTGGTTGCAGAAACTCATTACTCATTATCTATTAAATATTAAAAGTTGATTGCAGTAGATGAGGTTAAAAGGGGATGTGCCTCACCAGTGATGTACATCCTGCTGCCAGATTTGGGTGGGGAAGAGCCATCTTAAAAACAAAAAAAGGGGCAGAGTTTTAATATATTTAAGATGACAACCTAAGCACTAGTTATAGCCTAGAGGATTCCCTAGAAATCCCAGCAAACATCAGAATTCCTGTAGGTGGTATGTATTTGAAAGTAGCAAGTAGCGGAGCAAGATAAATTCTCATATATTAACTTAATTTGGAAAAAAATTGTGGCACTACGTTATAGCTTTAAATGGTGATGGGTTACAGAGCCCAAAATGGAAACGTATAGAAATTCTTTGGGATGCAGGGGAAAGAGCGTGGTTTTGCTGTGATGAGTGGCTGTGAAGCAATGCTTTTGCACAGCTCTGCCTAAATAAACCATGACAACGTAGACTAAATGCAGTGAAAAATAAGGTACCACGCTGTCTCGGGTATGCCTCAGCTGGTGAGCTCCAGCTTGTGTGTTATCTCAATGTCATAACTGGGCTGAGACAGAGTGGGTAATGATTTGTTTAAATGTGTACAGTGAGACAAGAGCTGAGCCTGCAAGAGAATTAACCCAAAGTCCAGGTCTGCTCCTCACCCACCAGCTGCGTCACAAAGCATGGGGAGTGCTCTGCAGAGTCAGAGGAACATCCTCTGGCCAAATTGGTGTTATACTGTGTGGAACAGACCTGAGCTCTTGCTACAGTGTCACTTTCTGTTGCTTGTCATTAGAAATACCAGATGGTGTCTTGCTTTCCTGTTTTTTCCACCCGTAAATGGAAAAATTTTGTTCAAGAAACATTTCCTCCTCCCAACCTCCTTGTCGAGACCTTTGATAAAAGGAGCACAATAAAGCTCATAGCTAGAGGTTCCAGAGAGCTGCATTTTCTTATTAAAATCTCAAGAATTATGGAAAAGAGCTTTTGGATAAAGTAATTCTGAACTTGTGCCTTTTTTCATTGAGCTTTTGTATCTTTGTTAATGACTATTTGTTTTTTATTGTGTTCTTTTTATATAGCTCCCCAGAGGAATTTTGAAATTGCCTTTAAGATGTTTGATCTGAATGGTGATGGCGAGGTGGACATGGAGGAGTTTGAGCAGGCAAGTCGACTTCTTAAGGCTGTGGCATCTTAGTCATAACACTGTAGAGGAGCGCTGTGCTTATTATGGCTTGTATTTGTGGTTAGTACTGGTTTACATCTTTTCCTTCTATGCTCTGCTGTGCTGCCCCAGTGTCTGCTTATTTCAAGACATCATTTTTCATTGAACCAAGTCAACTGTACGTATAAACTCTGATGTCCTGTGACTTTGTGACTGAGGTATCTTTACAAAATGTCACCCTCAAAGTAGATAAAGAAATTTCTTTACAATACTGATGTCTTAGGATTTTGATCCTACTTTCTTCCAACAGCTTTTAATGTGTTCCTTAATTGTGTTCAGAGAATAACCTGTGCCTGTGCAAGCCTGCTTCAAAGAAGAATTTAGCCACTTCTTTCAACATAATCTAAAAACATGTTTATTGAGAACATATTTTCGTTAGATTCTTTCCCCAGCTTCTTACAAGGTTTCATCAGCAGGGAGTTAGATGCAGGCTTTTTAATGAGCTTAGTCTGCATGTCTGATACTGGTGAGGTCCTCCCATAAGATATAGTTTGTGATTGTGATAGTGAGAATAGCTTGAAGACTTGAGCTGTCAGTGGGGAAAAGGTCTGACCTCCCTAGGAAGAATATGTGGTTTTCTTCCCTGTGTAGGAAACAACCTTAAGGCTTTGAAAACTCATAAACATCCTGAAGTTGCTGTGTATTAGCAAAGCTCCATGTGTGTGCTGCTTGTGAAAGGAAAAATAAATGTGTTTGCAAACAGGGGAACTGGCCAGTTGGATGGGGAGTCATCATCTCTGTTATCAGAGAACAAGGTAGAGGAGACATACCACTAATCTACCTAATATTTGTGTGCACCTGACACTTCTGTGACCCTGTGTCCCTCAGGGCTGTATGTTTAATGGGCAAGTGGAAGCTGCTGCTTCTGGGCAAAGGAAATGAGACTGCTTAAAAAATAACCTGCCTACACAGTGTTTTTATGCTGGAGGACATGCATGTTTGGAGAAGGTGAAAAGCTATGTACTGATACCTGAGAACAAAGCAGCCAGGAATAATCTAGTTACAAATTCTTATTCATCAGTTGATTGAATGACTAGTTAACTTCAGAAGAGTCTCTACAAGGTCATGCTTGGGGCACTTGCTATAAATGGGAAGAACTAGTGGCAAAGCATGTCTGTTAAATTAATTCCCCCCCCTTTCTAATCTTTTGCTGTCATCCTTCTTAAATTATTACCTGTGGGTATGATGTTGTTGTTATGAGTTTGTTCCAGAGCTGTGTAATATCTCTGGTTAACAGTATGTTTTTAGATGCAAACGTTGGTCTATGAGGGGAATGAAGTATGTTTATCTCCAAGGTAATATCCCTTCGTGTGACAGCTTGTAATGTAAACCCAGGAGTTTGTTCATTTTCCTTTGAGTGCAAATTTGAGTACATAGCCATGTCCAGGTTACTGTGCTGTTTGGCACTGCCTCCCTTTGAGCTACTGATCTGTACTGATTGATACAGCTATGAAAAATTCCGAGTTGCCTATTTTCACAAGTAAAAAATACTCTTCTTCCTTCTATTTGCATAGTGCACAAATATAGCACTCCACTGCAGCTATCTGATAATATTTAACAATTAAAAAGGTGGTGTACAGGAGTTACTAATGTTCCAGACTGAAATTAATTATGGAGATAAATGAGTTTAAGAAAAGCGGAGAATGGTTCACTGCCTAATAGAACTGTGGTGACGCCAAAGTACTAACGTAAATATCGTGTTTGGCTTTATTAGCCGTGTAAAGTAAGAAAGAATCTTTTCTTGGGGATGAATGTTTTGGAAGCGCTGTGAAGACGAAGGTACAAAATTAAATTATTTCAAATCATCCAGTAGGCAAAGGGAAGTTATATGTGCATTAAGTCATATAAAAACCCTTAGGAAGGGGAACATATTTTTGTTAAACCTGTTACATGCGTCACTGCCTCTATATAAAGGAATAAAATTCCTGGTTAGCATCAGAATATTTTGGTGAAGACTGATCTTCCAAAGCTTTCGAGTCAGAGGATGAAGGAGCTGTTTTGGAAAGTGAGAAGAAGCTGACAATATCTTCACAGTTATCACTGTGGCTGATTTGCTGCGCTTCCCAAACAGAATTAAAGCAAACACATAGCTTCAGCATGAGGCACATATATAAAACATTATACACATATATAGCACACAGAATATGTGGTAAATACTCTTTTTTGCTTGTTATGGAAGTGCCTCAGTAAGAGCACAAAGGATTGGCAGGGTTTGCAGATCTGTCCCGTAAGCGTCTTGCCTGGCAGGGGCAGCTGGAACTGGCCCTTCCAGTGGGTTATGCTGCTGGAGGTGGCATCAGTTTAAAAGAGCCACATCGTTTTGGGGAGAATGGGAAGAAAAAGAAGGGCAAGAAAAGGGTTCTCACAGAAGCAGCGTACCATCCCCGCTGGCTCTGAGCACGTGGGAATGAATTTCATACTCCTTTTTCACACGGCTGTGTTGCAGACAGCCAACAGCAAGTCTTTTGTTCTCATCAATGTCTGAAAAACCATAAGAGTATTCATCAAGAAGGAAAATTACTTGCACTAATTTAGCTAATATGCAAGTTAGAGTCTTTAACTACCTAATCAGAAAATACTTCATTTCTTCAGGCCTCACTGAAGAGACTCAGGTGGGGTTTTTTTCAGGTGGTGCATATGGTTAGTGCATAGTGCTGAAGAGTTTGGTGCCTGCATCGTTATCATCTTCACCTTTTCATCTTTCAGCATGAAAATTGTTCGTTTACTCTTATATTTTTAATTTAAAAGTTAGACAAGTAGTAGTAAAATTGCAGGCAGTGTTACTTGTGATTTCAAACCATTAACTCTTTTAATTGATTTTTTTAAATTTTTTTTTTTTTTCCTTATCTGGTGCAAAAGATGAAATGGATCACAAACACTTGGGCTGAAGTATGTACAAAAGACAATGAAGCATCTCTGTGCTTTACATCCTTGCACAATCAGTGAGCTCTGGGGTAGGACAGCACTAGTTGGGCTGGAAGACAGCTTCCTGCAGTGGCTGCCTGCCTTTCTGGGTATTAGAAGGACTACCTGAAATAGGGAGCAGCCAAATTATTTTGGCTCCAATGCCCACAGAAGGATTTTCAGACTGTCCAAAGCTCGTTATAGATGGGGAGAGAAAAAGAGGGGCGTAGGATGCTGTATAAATAACACCCGGGAGAAGATGCTATCAAACAGTCTGCAGTGTGGTAAACACTTGCTTCTGCAGAAACAGGAGCAATTTTCCAAGCTGGTCATAAACTGCATTGCTTCAGACAGTTTATAAATATTTGTCTCAAAAATGTGCATGCAGAGCTAGCAGTTAAAGTGGAGCACAAAGCAAACTAAGGAGATGCTATTTACAGTGCTAAAATCCTTCCTCACATCACAGTGCATATTTAAAAAGGAAAAAAAAAAAGCCCCAAACCTTTTTTTGTATTTTTTTCCTCTGACACTACTTGATTGTCCTTGTAGTAGAAGAATAGCCTGTAGTCTGTGGTTCAGAGGCAGCATTTCAAGCGAGGTGAGCCCGGCAGCGTGATGTGGTGTTCTCCCTTTGGGGTTGTTCCAGCGCTCGCTTTCTTGTTAGGAAAATAAATGAACACCCCATATATGATGATAACAAGGTTCTGGCATCCTTTTGACAGCTGGAGCTCTTGGCAGCTGTTTTCCTTCCTCGCTTCCAACTTTTGTCAGCAGGAGGAAGGGTAAAGGCAAAGCAGCAGTGTTTGCTGGAGTTTGGGGAAGCCTGTGCTCTCGAGGCTCAGTGCCGGGCAGCATGTCGGGTGACTGCTTTTCCCCTCCTTTCTCACACTTGTTGTCCTTAATACGAATCCTCTGCCTTGTTGGAAGAGATCAGCTCTTCAACAGAGAATAATCCTGGCTTCTCATATCACTGCAATAGTCATTCAGATGGGCAAGTGCTGGGAAGAGGTAGTGGGATCCTTGGGGATGGAGAGAGGAGGCAAGTGTGCATTTGGCTTGGCTGCTCCCTTAAATTAACAAAAGACCCTTAAAATAACCAACTGTTGGAGTTTTCAGGCTGTTGCATCCTTCAGGTTCAACCTCTTGCCATATGGTAGAGGGTAGGGAAAGTTGTCCTGCTTGTCTTTGCCCTGTCCCATAGCATCCAGTGCAGTTGAGCGGTGCCTTTGAGAAGGTACAGGGTGCTGCTGAGAGCTCAGGGGAGGATGCTGTTTGCTGCGTGGTTTGTTAACATTTGTGCTTTCACACTTGGATGTCTTCCTGCAATTATTCCACAGTCTGCTGATAACAGATAGTTTCTCATTACTTGTTATTCTGCTGGTGCTGCTGCTGAGGTTGTATTTGGGCTGTGGGACTTTAGGAGAGCCCTTTGCTATGGGTGGCTCAGCTTGCCATACTGCCCCAGGGACAGAGGAGCTTCCAGCCACAGCAGAGAGAGCAGGCAGCAAGGAGAGGGTGCCCTTGGGTGGAAAAAACCCTGGGTTTGTGCACAAGGGGAAAGGGAACGCGATGTGAGCTAACTAGGGTTGGTGTGAGCTAACAAAGGTGTGCAGTAAAGTAGGAGTGGAAGCTCCAAAACGTGTGCAGGCTTTTTTCTTCTCCACTGTTTCTTCAGCTTTCTCTCTTGTGACTTTGCTGGCAGAAATCTGCTCTCTGCTGACCAGACATAGGATCAGCGCTAGAATACTTATCTGCAAGCTGGGGGAAATGTTTCTTAAAACTCATTTTAAGCATTTCACAGTCATCTTCCTTTCAAGGGGACTGTGAAAAACCAAAGCCTAAGTTCAGCAAAATTTTTGAATTTTCATGTCTCCTAAAAATTATTTCAGGAAAAAAAAATATTATGACATGGCTGAGCATTGCAGTACTTTGTATTGATACTTGACTGGTCCAAGTCCCAGTGCTGGTTTTGATGCTAACATCCTCCCTCTTGTTTTTAGGTCCAGAGCATCATTCGTTCCCAAACCAGCATGGGCATGCGCCACAGAGACCGGTCTACAACGGGCAACACTCTGAAAACTGGCTTCAACTCTGCGCTGACAACGTACTTCTTTGGGGCGGATCTGAAGGGGAAGCTGACCATCTCCCACTTCCTCGACTTCCAGCGCAAACTGCAGCACGATATTCTGAAGCTTGAGGTTTGGGGTTTTTTATGTCTGGGAGAGGGCAGCACAGCATGGACTGTGCTGCATGAAGTGGTTTCTGGAGGAAGAGTGTGGGAAGGGTTCAGAGGGAATTATTACAGCTGTGGCTCATAGCACTCAAAGATCAAACCTGCTGTTAAATTTCTGATGAGCGTTTTGGTGCCTGTGACAATCTCCAGGAACATCTCCAGCTTTTGCTGGTAACTGCTCCTGTGCAGTTGTAGCAGCAGCCAGCTTGTCCCAGGTGCGTGTCCCTCCACGTGCTGCTTGCCTTGCTGTTGCCTTGGCACTGCCCATGGAGATATTTGAGATGCTTCAGAAAAAAAAACGGTAGAGGTTGTGAGTGGTCTATTGCTACCTTAGTGGGAAAGGTTTGTCTCCATCCGAATGAGTGAGCCGTGCCCTGAAGGATCAGGGATTATAACATTCCCCAAACACTTCATCTCTGCTTTTGTCCCCACCTTGTTTACTTGACTATTCTGAATATTTCTGCTTTATAAGTGTTCAAGCCTTGTTGGAGTCCTGCTATGACCTCCATGATTCACTCCTGGATTGACGTGCTCTATAAGAAATGTTGTCCATCTCTTCCAAGTTTTTTATCTTTCAGTCGATTCAAAGGTCTCCTTTTTTTCTTTGCATTACCATGAGTTAACAGCTCGCAATCTCCTGCTCCTAGTCACGTAGCCTGAATGTAAGTATCAAGCTTCAAAATTCTGTTCATTTGAATAAAGTGAATACAAGAACATTAACAGAGGACTCCTGGTCTGTGTCTCAGCTCCCAGGTTAGAAACATTGTTAGAAACAATGCCCTTCTCTGCATCAGGCTCAAAGGTTCAACCTGGCTTGACCAAAGCCAGGCTTTTATTTGCATCCAAAGTGAGGGTTGGTGCACAAGAAGATTCCCTCACCTGTTGAGACAACAGTATTCGGAGTTCGCTACTGCTTCAGTCTGATGTATGAATGTCCACGTGCTCGGGTTGTGTGATCCAGCTAATGAACTGCATTTTATTAAGTTCCTATTAAGTCAGTTGTTGCGAACTTAACCTGAATTTATTCCTTTTTATTTGGAGTTTTATGAATCTAAGTAAGAAACTGACCCAAGGACTAATTTTTTTTATGAAGGTAATTGTCCATTTCACTGACTTCCTTTCACTGGTCATTAAAGCGGGTGGTGTGGCCCTGCATTTGCAGGGGGAATAGGCTGATTGAAGACAATGTTCTTTGTGAACTGGAAAGTGTCGATTCCTCAGTGCTGCTGCAAATTGAAACAAATTAAACGCTTTTTAAAGGTTAAGGAACATAAGATGAAACTTGAATGCAAAGCAAAGAGAAGTAGAGATTATTCTATCCCCGTCTGCTGTCCTGCTCTGGTTTTCCACTGCCACGTTCGCTCCAGGGGCAGGCAGCGGGGAGGCACTGGAGTATTTCTGACCCTCCTTTGGAGTCCTGTGCTGCCTCCATGGGTCCCCACTTATCTCAGTAAGAAGCATTGGTTTTTTTCTGTTTCACAGTACTTGGTCTTCTCTTCCTCCTGCAGCAGTTTAGTATTAATTTAATTTTTAGTTACTTCAGTTTTGTGTGTTCCTGGTGAGAGTTGCCTTTCTAACAAGTTAGTTATTAATTGGGGACAGTACAAGATATTTATGTCTTGGTTAGTTAATTAATATCATAAACACATCGTTAATGAATTAGTGACAGCACCCTTGAGCACAGTATCATTCTGTGCTTAGCATTATTGATACTCATTTTAATTGAAAATTTGACCTATGCAGTGATAATAGTTCTGTTCTGCCAAACTTATTTTTCTCTCTGAGTTTATGATACTTAGGTCCCCGACTTTTCGTAATTCTCATTGATTTTGGCAATAAAGGCTAATTTCTCTTCTCAACGTTACATAACGTGGCCTCTCTCCTCCTGTGCTTTCATCTCTTTTGATGTGATATCCCACCTTCTCTCCTTGCTTCACATTTGATGTGTTTGTTCCCAGTGAAGTGGCTCTTCACGCAAGTATCTAGTGGGTTTGCATTGCTACTTTTCCAGGGAGTGCTCTAATGAACGCAGCCACTTCAAAAATGTGGTAATTCAGAGAAGAGATGTCCCTCAGGTATTTAACTTGACCCATACAAATAGAAAGGAGGTGAGAAGTGGAGCTAGGAAATACTGCACTACAGAGCATCAGGTGACTCATGTAGCTGATTTTTAACGACTTCCCTTGGTTTATTTATCTATTTTGGTAAGGAGCCTGTGAGCACAGTGGTCCTTTATCAACCTCATGCTCGACTGCCCATGCAGACCATCTCTGGATCCTTCCCGTGGCGTTGCTAGTGTTACTGGTGGACAAGGAGGAGCAGAAAAGAGCTGGTGGCAGATCTGCCAGGGGCTCAGCTGAGCTTTTGTACCTTCTCTGCTCATCCTTTGTGGCTTAGCTAAATGAGTACATGGTCTGAAGCTGGGATGTTACTTTGAAAAGCAGGTTTTGTTCATGTTCAGTGTCTGAACTCCAGAAAAGGCTTTGGGGAAATGCGCTGTGAGCAGGTCTGCAGAGTATCTCCTGAGACTTATGCAGCCCCCAAGTGACACGGTGTCTCTGGTCTCAAAGTTCTTATATGCTTGTTCTCTCTTTTCCAAAAGGTCTACTTTAAGACCTTTTTTAAACCTGTTTTCTTTTTGGCTCACTGTGAAGGTGGAAGAGTAGTTTCTGGCCAGATCAGAACACACTTTCTTCTTGGTGATTTTGGTTCATTTTTTTTCTTACCGAATATTCATGCGTATTTCTTATAAAGGTTGAGCAGAAACTTTCCCTGAAGAATTACATCAGACAAAGCCTTGAACATTTCAATGTTCAATGGCTGAAGTGCTGACAGCATGTTTAACTGTGGCCTGGTGTTTTCTTCTTCCTTTCTGCTTATTTTTTTGATGAAAGTACTTTTTCCATCATTTTATGGGAACTCAGCAATCAGCTCAGATGCCGGAAGGGAAGGATGAGAAAAGTAATCCCAGATAGAGGGAGAGGAGAAGTTTTTAACAGTTTATTACAATTTTTTGTGGTTTGGCTACTTTGAGGAAGCTGTGTCCTCCTTGTTGTGTTGCGGAGTGACTGGCTTTAGCTAAAGCTGAGCCATGGGAAGCAACCCACCATATGGGGCAGGCTCCTGGCAAAGTCCTCAACCTTTTTTTGCTGCATTCATACTGCCTTGCATTAGTGCCTATGGAAGACTTAATTTAATCATGTTGCTTAGTGTGACAAATGGTGACAGGTTTGTCTGGACAGGCCGAGCAGCTATAATGTGACCTGTTTAGGACAGGCAGTGTTTGGCTCAAATGATGCTTTTTTGTCTTTGAGTGAAAGTACTCTGTGAGCTAGGAAGATGGATAGGACTTGACATCATCATTTATGCTATTTCTACTTGTTAGTGTCTGTCCTAGATATCCCCATGTCCTTGGCAGACCAAGAGGAGTCCCAGCCAGCCCATAGGTCTCTTCCAGCCTTATTTTTCCTATGATTCTGTAAGTGCATGTAGGAAAGATATGTTAAGCCCTTTATTCTCCACATCTGTGTCACCTCTGAAGGGCAACCCAGAACCTGCTTATCGCAGTGATTTCATCTCCATACTTAGTCATCTTGTATTTCCCCAGGCTTCTTTCTGCCAGCAGTGGGATATGTGCCTGTGGTGTAAGACCTTAATAAAGTTGGGGTTTTTTCCAAAATTGCCTGCAGTGAGATTTCTATAGTGTGTTGTTTCCCTGACAGTTACTTAGTGGAGGGCATTGCTTCTCAGCTGAATAGGTGGAGCAGGTACTAATCCAGCCCTACACCTTGTAGGTGTGGGGCTGTCTTGGCAGCAAGAGATGTTACAGCTGGAGAGGCAGGATTGTGCTGTGTGGCTTCGAGCAGCTCCACATCTCAGTCTGGTGTGATCTGGGGTCTACGCTTCGAGGTGATGGGATGCAGCTTCCCATGGAGGAGCTTGCCAGATAGGTTGAAGGGTCAGATCCTTGTGCAGATGCATATCTTTATGCTTAAACATGAGGATCTTTGCAGATTGTTGTTCGCCAAAGGATCGAGGCTGCCCCAGTAGCAGTCCCTCCCAAGCAAATGGTCTTCCAGGTGCTGGAGCAGAGAGAAGTAAAATGAGATCCTGTGAGAATATGGCAAAGGTACCACAAGTCATTGCTGCCATCTGGAAAAATCATTGATTTCATGTGTCTGTTGTGTGACAGGTGATGTGAGGGTCACTTCTTTACTCTGGAAACTCCTGTTTTCATGACCAGTGCCGATATGATTACTTCTCGGTTTGGTTTCTGCGAAGAAGGGGTGATGGATGCACTTCTGTCAGCACATATCTTGTTAGAAAGTCCTAGATCTGTTTGAATCTCAACCCTGTTCTAACAAATTTTCTGGTTTCAGAAGGCATTTCTAATGCTTCGCAATCAGGTTTTAGGGTAATAATTTGAATCCTCAAGTGCCTTTCTGTTCTCAGTCCTCGTGCTGGGGTAGTTGGTATCTGAGTAACCCTGTACCAAGTATTAAAAACTACTGTATCATTACCAGTTACTCGAGTTTTGGGGTTCTGCCTTGTTTTTGTATGTGTTTGCAGACTGTTACAGGTTTTCAGTGATTTGTTAGCAAAGGCAACAAAGTTTGCAGTAATGAGTCATGTGTCTTTGTATCTGCTACTGTGGTTTAGGTGAAAGAAAAGAGTAACTTAAATTGTTTTGACTGGCCTGAAAAATGAGGTCTGGCAGAAGTTAAGGACTGGCAAAAGTCCTTAAGCTGTGTAAAGAATGGCTCAAAACTCAGACTTTTTGGAGGTCAGTTTGCTATCAAACTAACACAAGACAATTTTTATTTGAAGTCATATGGCAGTCTCTGTTAGGTGTGTTGTCCTCTGACTGCTGATCAGCTTCACTGCTGGCCTGGCCACTGTGGAAAAATGATGGGGGGTGTAATGTTTTCCCTTTTTTCTTATGAATTCCTCCTTCTCTGTGTCCTG